CAGGCTGACCTTAATGATTTCCAGAATTTCCTTCCAGTTCTCACTCCTGTGATTCTGTTTATCTTTCCCTTCTTCTTTGTTACAACTTTGAGAATTGGTCATTTACTAAGAAAAGTTATTTAGCTTTCACAGTCTAGGTATCATACTCAGGCCTAAAGACTTCATGAGCAGCTACAAGGAACCATACTGCAGAAAGCCAGTTTTAAAGCACATCCCTTCCAAGGGTTTCATCTGGATTACCCCACACATCTAGATCTTCATGGCAGCATGATGGATTCCCAAGGAAACAAGGAAAGTTCAAGGTGGCATCACTGATACTTTCAGAGTGATCATAAATATGAGAGAAATGGGGAAATATGAATACAGACTGCACACTAACCAAAGGAATAATACTTGATTTTATGAGGTATGACAGTGACATTTCGTTTTATAAAAAAATTTTGTTTTGAGTTGCATACACAGAAGTAGGAGCAAAAAGCCATAATGTCTGAGATCTGCAGAGCTGCTCAAAAATACTTCAATGAAAAGAAAAAAAAAAAGGAAAACAGATGAGGCAAGTGATACAAAATCTTGATAATTAGTGTGTGTGCGCGTGCGTGCACGTGTGTATATGGAGAAATAATTATTCTATTCTTGTATATGCTTGAAATCTTTCACATCAAAAGAACTTTAAAAACTATTTGATGCTAACATATAATTCAGTTAAGAACCAGATAATACAAAAAAAGTTGCCTGTTTAAAAAAAAAAAAAAAAGAAAAATTTGCCTACTAACAGGCAAAATAAATGTTCAACGTCTACATACTAAACTTTCTAAAAACGAAGAGAACCTCCTATAGTTCATATGTTGACCTATGTATTCTTATTTCAAATAAGACTCTCATTTATCTGATTTCTAACTAGGGTGGATATAAGAAGAGTTGACAATGAGAAGGGGAAAATTATAGGGCATATTATTAATGGATCAACACATAAAGTCATTCAGGCAAGAAGAAAGCCAAGTCACAATATTTAATCCCCAACTATCTGTCACTCAGGATTTGTTAATGGCAACTCCTGCTTCCAATTTTTTGACATTATCAGCTGTGTGAATTTACTTTAGAACATAAACAAGAAAAATGTCACTTACAACTGGGAAATTATAAAACAAAAACTTAGAAGCTGACTCATAGTGGGGTATGGAGGGGGAGCATGGGAGGAATAGATGAATTCTAGATAGGGATGTGGGGTGGGAGGGAAAGGGAGGAGTTAGGGGATCAGCAAGGATGGTGAAATGTGATGGACATCATTATCCAAAGTACATGTATGAAGACACAAATTGGGTGTCAACCTACTTTATATACAAACAGAGATATGAAAAATTATTGTATATATGTGTAATAAGAATTGTAATGCAAAAAAAAACCAAAGTACATGTATAAAGACATGAATTGGCGTGAACATACTTTATATACAAAGATATGAGAAACTGTGCTCTATATGTTTAATAAGAATTGTAATGCATTCTGCTATCGTGTATTTTTTAAAAATCAAATAAAAAACAAACAAACAAAAAACCCCAAAACTTAAAATTCCAGCTTCCCCTTGTGCACCACCTGCCTTTAATTCATCAGCAAAACAAAGGTTGGAGGACCAAAAGGAAGCTCAACAGCTGTCAGGTCTTTGTACAAACAGGATGATATACATTAGCCATACAATTGATTAGCAGAAGTTCTGAAAAGACAGGGCAGTCAGAACTACTAGTATTAAATGATTTTAATCACAAGGATCAAACGCACAGAATTTTTTATCACACTTTAGTTTCCACAGCTTAATGATGATTTGATCATGAAAACAAGAATGATTTGATCATGTAAAATAAGTCCTTACTTACTGCTTCCCTGACTTGTTTATATAAAACTGAATGTAAGTCTAAAACACCAGGGAATTTACATCCCTTGACTTGAAGAAAATGAGACAAGTGGCCAATAAATTATGGTACCATCGAGTATTATTTTTAAAAACCAGTCACTTTGGTCATACATCATAGGGTTAATAAAGATGCCAGTTTGATTTAATAATCCATAGATATATAGTGTTGTATACTAAAAACAAATACGTCAGTGAAATGCTTCAGATACCACATACATTTAAATTAATATGTTCAGAATATTTTGACTGCTAAGAATTGAGTTCTAAATCATCAAATAATCATCATTCATGCACAGCATAGAGGATAATTCTTAGTTAACTAAAATAATCCATTAATTAGCACACAGATTACCTTTTTGGGGAGGAACCGGGGTACTGGGGATTGAATTCAGGGGCACTTGGCCACTAAGCCATATTTTGTGCCTCCTGAGCACCACCGAACCTGGCCAGATTACCTTTTAATTTCTTTTACATTTCAAGTATGTGAAAGATTAAAACCAGTTATTTTTTATTTTTATCAAAAACTTCAAACATATAGAGAATAGAAAAATCCATAAACTTGCCATCCAGATTTAATAAATACCAGCATCTGATATATTTGAGATTTTTAAAGAAGCATTAGAAATATAAAGTTTTTCCTAGTTCCTTGATTTGGCCTTCTCACAAGTGCTCTATCTACTCTTCTACTTTATTCAAAACTTTCCCTTTAAACCTATCCTCTATTATTTCACAGAAATGTCTTCAAAAATCTATACTCCCAATGACCACTTCTTTCCTCTTGATTAAAGCCTACTACAACCTAATTTCTGTCTACTTGACTCCTATTCAATTCCAAAACATATAAACCCAAGATTGCTTTTCAGGCTTCCTATTACTGGACCACTCAGCAACTTATGACTCACAGAGCTGGGTGTTGCTAGCCTGAAGGTTCTCAGAATTGCAAATCATCATCTTTCAACAATAGGGATTTCTTTCAACTTTGGGGATCTTTTGTTCTGACTATGCTGGCCCAGAAATATGGAGAAAAATGACATGTGTGGAAGTTAGTGAGCCAGTACCCAAAGGGAAGGAACTGGAGACAGAAGGAAGGTTTGCTTTCAGATACAGAAAAGAAAGGCAGGATTACAGGCCAGGAATTATAGTTATAAAAACTCTGTACAATATTAGGAAATGAATGTACATTATGTGATTTAGGTTAAAATAAAATGTCTAACATATGGTAAAAACAAAACAAACAAAAAAAAACCTCTGGAAGATCCCAAATCACTACACACACACACACACACACACACACACACACACATTTCATTCTATTCTATTCTATTTTCACAGATAAAAAGTCTAAAGGTTATATACCAAAATGTTAATAATTAAATCATTAACCAATGATTACATCTCTGAATGTAAAGATTATGGATAGGTTTTATGTTCCTTTTAATATTTATTTTGTTAATCTTATACAATGAACATGCTTTTTTTTTTTAAACAAGAAAAATGCCATGTTTTAATTTTTTTAAAAACAAAGGCTACATGCCTGTCATTCAGGGTAACAAAGAAGGGTGTTGCTAGGGAGATGTAGCTCCACAGAACACTTGGAGAAAACCTGAGGAAAGACGGTGGGTGTTGGCAGCTTGAAAAGGGAAAAGAAAAGGCTGGGTGCATGGGGCCCAATTTTGGGAAAAAAGAGAGCTCACATGAACCAGTCTGGCCTGAGACAACATAAGACCTGCTGTTCTCCTGGGCCTTCCAAACAGCTATTGAGTCCTTTTCAGGTTCCCCATAAGATTCTGCTAAAATCCCATTACAGATGTGTATCCCAACTACCTGGCACCACCAGGCACTCTAATGATGTCCTTTCTTACTGCTTCCCTGACTTCTAGTTCACTAGTGTTTTAAAAACAGTGAGCATCTGAGAATATTCCAAGAATATTTGGAGCAGGACACTCCAAACTCTCATATTTCTACAACTCTGTGTTGACCTTTACAAGCTCCACTTTCCAGCCCAGATACTAGGCTTCAGTAAATGAGATACTAGTATTTCCCCTGAGCATCCCTTTGTATGTACTCTTTCTATAGCCCAGAATATGCTTCCATCCTAGGATCTGCCTGGAAAATTCCTATTCACCCTTTATGTCTAGCTCAAATGAAAAATCCTTGAGAATGCACTCTGAGCCAACTGGCTGCTTCATCCTATGGATACCTTATTCATTATGGATGTAACATTTTACAGCACTTCTTATTGGAATTATTATTAAAACATACGTCTAGGGGCTGGGGTTGTGGCTCAGTGGTAGAACACTTGCCTAGCATGTGAGAGGCACTGAGTTCAATTCTCAGCATTGCATGTAAATAATTAAAATAAAGGTCCATTGACAACTAAAAAATATTTTTAAAAAATACATCTACTCTACTAAACTATGAGATATTTAAAGCCAGGAATTATGAAAAGCCCTGTGCATCTAGAACAGTGTATAAACACAGTAGGTATTCAATAAATATTTGATAAATTAATAAATAATGTATTTGTTTGTACTATATATTTTTATAGATATCTCAAAAATATGTTTTAGGAGCTGAAAAACATGCACTAACTGATTCTAGTACCCTCCAACCTCTGTATTCGGGCTGGCACATGCTAGGTAAGAGCTCTACCACTGACCCACCTACAGTCCTGACACTTGTGCTCTCTGAATAAAACCAATACAAAGTTTAAAAACAAACTGAAAAACAAAAAACAGTAAAGAACAGATCAAATATATATTTGCAAACAGTAAGATTTCTGCCATCTTTACACTAAGAATATCGGAACTATGTCAATTTGGAATTAGCAACCTAGTCAAATAATAATTTGAAGAATACATGTTATGGAGGGGCTTTTGTTTTTCTTTCCCACAATGGTGGTGGTAGTGGAAAACTGTTATAATGTAAAAGTATTTAAAATATTTATCTTCCTTTCAAAATCAATTATAGTAAGAATAGCTGATAATCAGGGAGAATGGGAAATTTAAGATCAACTACAAGTAAACAGAATCAGCACATAATTCTCCTTTCCATAAATTTTAACTTGTGTTTGTGCCTGCCTATAGCCTACCTGAGCTAAAGTAGGAATTGAATTTTGGCCAGTCTGAGTATGCATATGAGCAGATTCTCTCTCTGCCACAGAATCAGTTATACTTCCATCCTGCCGAGATTCAATTGTTTCCATGGTCATTTGTCTGAAAAGATAACAAAAAGGAAGAAGCATTAAGGACCCATCTAAAGTATCAGGAAATACTGAGTACTGTTTTTACTTAGCTTTCTGATATCCATTTATGGCAGTCAATCATCCTCTTGTGGTTTTTCTTTTTTGTTTTTTTTATTCAAGAAATTGGTTTAGTAGCAGAATTTTCACTTACCAAACTGAAGGCACATTCTCTGCCCAATGAATAACAATGTTACCAAGGGAATGCTGCAATGTATTTTATGGGAATTAGCTTATTTTAAAAATTAAGTCTTAAAGTCTCCCTGATAATTGTTTTGGGCACTGTATTTAGTATGAAAGAGTGATAATACTAGGTTTTCTACTTTACCTGGAAAGTATAAATATCCTATGAGTCTCAAGGTCTAACAACTGTTTTATATTATGGTGTGGAAAATTGCCCATTGTCTAAATTAAATGTCATAATAATGTGTCTTGCTTTGTCAGCAAGTAGTTTCTGACAAACAAGCCTCCCAAACAAATTCAATCAGTAAGGGCTAACCACTTTCCTCCAGCTCCCCAGTTATTCAGAGAAGAATCTAATTTTTCCAGGAAAAACTTCTGACATGATTTTAGTTTGCTTCTGAATTCAATTTAAGTTAATGGTTTCTATGTAGAGTCTAGAAGGTCAACCATATAATAACAAATTTTATTTTATTAAGAAAAAATGTAGAGGCTGGGATGTGGCTCAAGCGGTAGCGCGCTCGCCTGGCATGCGTGCGGCCCGGGTTCGATCCTCAGCACCACATAAAAATAAAATAAAGATGTTGTGTCCACCGAAAACTAAAAACTAAATATTAAAAAATTTTAAAAAAAGAAAAAATGTAAAATGCAAACAAAATAAATTTTAAAATTTAAATTGTTATAGAACTACTCTCTGCTGCCATATCTTTTCAAATGTCAATAGTATGATACATTTTTTCACCTTAGTAGTCTAAATATATATCAAAAAGTATGAAGCCTACTTAAGACATTGAATTAAAAAGTTCAAATTGTTTTCACCAGATTTAATTAGTTACCAGATCCTTCATCTACTGTCTTTCATTTACTGCCTTCATTTGCATTTCAGTAAGCACTACCTGAAGCTAGCTTTGCATTCTCAAACCTGTCTGTTATAGGCTATGCTATATAGCCTACATTTTAATACTTACAAATTTGCAGGAATTGTGAAAAAAAAAAAAAAGTGTCTAGCCAATGGTGGAAAAAATGTACATCCCTTAATACTTTCCAATGCCTTTACCTCTTTTCTTATTACTGCCTGGCATGACCTCTCCAGTTCTGGGTACATATAACATGCATAAAATAGGTATATATCATCATGCATAAAATGTTAATTCCTACTGCTCTATTTTTGCTAATATGAACTCCAAAGAGAATGCTGTATGAGTTTTGTAGGATACAAAAAAGTATTATCCACAAAAGGAGATAAATAAAGTGGGTGAACACTTATTTAAATGTTTTTGTTTTCTGTATATTTTGGTGGCGCTGGAGAGCAAACTCAGGGCCTCCCACATGTTAGGCAAGCTCTCTACCACTGAGCTATATCCCTAGCCCTCAAAATCCTTTACCTATAGAGTTTAAAGAGTTTCTTCTCTCCCTCCCTCCCTCCCCCCCTCCCCCTCCCCCTCCCCCTCTCCCCCCCCTTTTAAACCCAGGAGCTCTGTAGAACTGAGCAACATCCCCAGCCTTTTTTTTTTTTTTTTGTGACAAGGTCTAGCTAAGTTGCTAAGGCTGGCCTCCAACTTTCAAACCTCCTGCCTCAGCTTCCCATGTCACTGGAATTACAAGTATGCACTATGGCACCCATCTAAGAGTTTTTTTCCCTATAGAAAAATCTCAGAAGTGTGAAGATGCTAGTGTGCCTTGAGAAGGGTGGAGAGTGAAGGCAGCATTTACCAAAAAGTATCTGACCCCCCCACCCTGCAAAAAAACCCTTTTTCCATTAAATATACCCTAGTAGGAGTATTTTGGCAACAATTCTAACAATATTGTGCTATTTTTACACCTTTGTTAAAAGTTCTAAGATTCTGCCAAAACCTGAGTCTCAACTCAAAAATTACATGCTAAAAGGCCTCGCCTAATAAACTGATTGATTCAGCATCATCTACATAATGGGCTCTATATACAAAAGTGGGTAAGCTCTATATACAAAAATGTCCTAAAGGAATTCATTTACCAGATGGTCCTTGATTTCTCAAATTATTTGTTTTTAAAAATGCAGATTTCCAAATTTACTTCACCAAACTTTCTGGGGAAATCTAATTTTTTGTATCCATGTAATTCCAACAAGTCTTGAAATTTAAGACTCACTTAGCTTACTGGTAGACTAATAATAAATATTAAAACTACTTAAATTATGTGAAGCCTGTTATGCATAAAATGCTTAGAAAAACAGACAGGAATGATGGAGTCTGCCTGAGGATGGAGCCAAGTAGAAAAGGATAGATGGGTATGATAGGAAGGAAAGTCTAGATTTTGGGAAACAGGACAGCTGACTGGAGTAGAAAATTTGCATGAGACTCATCAGGGAAGAGACAGAGTAAGACTGGTAGAAATAGGGTTAGAAAGGGTCAAGGGAACCAGATATGAATACCTTTCAATGATTTAGAAAAAATTTTTTACTTCAGATGCCTCCTCTACTCTAGGTCCTTCAATATCTAAAAAAACTAAAAATAAATAAATAAAACTAAAAAAAAAGTTTTAAAAAGAAAAAATTTCCTATTAACAGGCAAAATAAATGGTTCAATGTCCACATACTAAAACTAAAACTTGAGAACTTTCTATGGTTCATGTATTAACCCATGTATTCTTATTTCAAATAAGACTCTCATTTATCTGATTCCTAACTAGAATGGATATAAGAAGAGTTGACAATGAGAAGAGGAAAATTATAGGGCATATAATTAATGGATCAAGAATTCCAACTCTGTGGCTGTGGCACTTTGGGTCCATGTCAGATAAAATTGCCTATAGCTCTTTTTTTTTTTTTTTTTTTTGGTACCAGGAATTAAAACAGGGGTGCTTAGCCACTGGGCCACATCCCCAATCCTTTTATTTATTTATTTTATTTTTGAGACAAGGTCTCGCTAACTTGCCAATTTAAGGCCTCACTGAGTTCCTGAAATTTTGCCATCCTCCTGCCTCAGTCTTCTGATCCTGAGTGGCTGGGATTACAGGCATGTGCCACCACAACCAGATGCCTAGTTCTTTATACTCAAGAAATTGAAGGAAGTGAGGTACCAAGTCATATTGATATTTGCAATAACTATCATAAATCATCGAGAAATGTTAGCCCAGCATGGTGGCACATGCTTATAATCCCAGAAACTCGGGAGGCTGAAGCAAGAGGATCCCAAGTTCGAGGCTAGCCTTGACATCCTGGTGAGACCCTATCTCAAAAATAAAATAAAAAATAAAAAGAGCTGAAGATGTTCCCTGGAGGTACAGTACCCCTGGGTTCAATCCCTAGTAACACACACACACACACAAAAGTTAATAATGCTTACTTTACTTTAAGGACAGAATGGTACACACACAATAGAATCTAAGACAACCACCATCAAAAAAAAATAAATTTTAATGCTTAAGAAGATAAAGCTAAACTATTAAGAGCTCAATTTTTTAGATATAATAAAAGACTTTATAATTTATCAAGCAGATTTCAAAATGTTTCACATATGAAAGTGTTTTCATATATACTATCTCATGTAATCACCTTAATTATCATCTTGGGTATTCTCCAGATTTCAATCTTTTACTCTACGCTCTATTCCTTTTCTTCAATCTACATAATATTACTTAAGTCCTAAATGCAGATAATTGCCAAATCTGTATTTATGCACATCTCCCTCCTGTTGAGTTTTTCATAACTGGAGTTTTCACAACACCTATCCCTTTCCTCATAATCCTTACCATGCTTTCAAGCTCCAAAACTAGAATCATGTCCATGTCAGAACCAAGTCAACTGTAAAAAAAACAAACCCCCTCAAAGTTAAACATTAACCATATCAGGATGCAAGGAGACCTCAAGTAAAGGCATAAATGGAAGGTCGGCAGCTATGCCCATTCATCTTCCTTACCAGACTACCACTTGTATTAATTCTTTACAACCTCTTACTCCAACAATGAACTGCAGTTAAACTGCTGCTCTTTACAATTGCTGCCATCCACTATGAAGATCATTAATCAGTCACTAAATCTCTTCCTAAGCCATGACTAAATTTTGATGCCCCAGCACTTATGCCAGAATCACATCCATTAACATTTCACATTCCATCACTGCCCAAGATAAAAGCTCCTCTCATATTTCATTTTCACTTTCATAACTAGTGCTTTCATCCTCTCCCATAACAAATCCTACTGCTCTTCCATACCTTTGTAGTGTACTATCTAGACTCCCAAAGGCCCCTTACAGTCATCTCAGGAGGGAACTGCTCAACCTTCCATACTCAGGATCAGAATGTTGACCTGGCTTCCACTGTAGACTTGGTTCCTCACTACTGCTCCCAGCTGTTCCTCCTTTACTTCCTCATAACACCCTTATTCCACTGAGGCTCAAAGTCAGCTGCACCATCTTGTACCTGTCCATATGAAAATCATCATCTTCTATTCACTTCCAGAATATAAACTGAAAATTTTGGTCCCTAATTTAGAAGGCTTCCTTTCTACTATTCTGTGTATGTTCAACATTTAAAGGAAGGGATTCATCCCTCTCACTGTGTGTGGCAGATGAAACACTGGACCTTGTCTGTGGGCAAAACTGTTCCAGCCTAAAATATTTGATTCCAACACCCCACTGTCACTACAACATCCTAACTTTTCAGCTTAAATCTTTCATCCATTATTCCCACCACACCTATTATTCCACTGCACTTAGAGTTCCAGAGCACTTTCTCCCTTTCCATCAGTCTCCTTTCTTCATTCCCCCACCATATTCAGCTAGCATGATTTCTCATTTTAACTGCTTTTTCCAATCCC